CTGGGGGATTCTGGGAGTTGAAGTCCACACATCTTCAAGCGGCCAAGGTTGAGAAACACTGTTCTAGGCGGTGGTGACAGGAAAAAAGTACAATTGTAACCTAACAGCAGAACTGAGATGGGCTACCCTCATTTCAATGAGATCAAGGAAAAGTACAAGGGAGAAAAAAGCCATGACTTCCCAAGACTTAGCATCACACATTTATAAAGAAAGAGAATTTGTGGGTTGCTTTTGGTCAAGTCTCTCCTTGTTCTACTAGCCAGTTTTAGACTATACTAGAAGTGTCGATAACTTCACATCAGTCTCCATGGTTTAGCTCACAGAATACAGCAGATGAACTTGTTCCTCACCACCTCATTTTTAAATAAAGAGGTGGGGAATCCTCCCTTATCTTGCTCACCAAAATCCTCTGCACTGGATCAGTTCCACTGATGTCAGTGTTCGAAAGTTAGGTTGAAGCGTAAGCCAAATTTCTTAAGGCTAAAAGCAGCTTGAGAACAGAAGCTATGACTGCAGGAGGCGGTGGGAATCCCTTCACTAGAGGAGTCTACGTAAAGGCCATTTTACGTAGACCACAGTACATCTACATGAAGCAGCAGATGGTTGGGCTTCAAGTTCTAAAGGGCCATTTCCAACCCTACGATTCTATCACTGCAGACCTTTCCCAGTTTAATCCTTAGAGATACAAGAAGTAATCACTTCACAGCCCACTCGGGGTCAAACCCAAAGGGCCGTACACCAAATAAGCATAATAGAGTTGCTTACCTTCATCTAGAGATTTCACTGTGAACTTGGGCTTACTCAACACGGAAGAATCACCAGGATGAACTTCAGGGGTTTCAAAGGTTGCTGGGGTGACGTCTGTCCCAAGGAACATAAAATACAGATTTACAAAATACAGAAAACTATTGTTCTGAAGCTTCAAATCCCCATTGAAAAATCTGAAACACTCAATCTCACTGAGCCTAATCAACCTAACGAGGTTATGGGGCTAAAGCTAGTAGGGGAATTATGGGGCCCACTTTTGTTTCTTGATGAAAAATCAAGGTAACAATCCAATAAATTGGTAATAAACCATGTATCTGCCAGTGTCTTCAAACGCCAATGTCTCCCTAAAAGAAAGATTATATGCAAAGCTGATTTGTGAGAGATCACACTATGGATTGCCATTGTTCAGGACTGACTGTTTAATTTTTGTTAAATTTATATTCTGCCTTTTTTTCAGGAGCTCAAGAAATGCATTGGGCTTAAACCTGGATCTCCCCAATCCTAGTCCAGTACATTGACCACCATATGGCAATAGCTGTCTCCTCTATTCTTCTACACTCCATATTATTTGCTCCATGAACCTGTATTAACTGGAGTTGAACCAGGGCCCTTTTGATACATCCCAGCTATGCTTTAGCACTGGCCATTATTGGTAGTGATTGAGTATTTCTGAAATAGAAAACAAGACTGTGAAATCCTGGCCTACTATTTCTAGTCAGCCTAGATCAATTTTCCCCTTACTTGATACCTTCCAGGTGTCCTGAGATAACTAAAATAGCCATGTAGGCAGAACTCTGGAAGGCCCACAGAATGAGGAAAGTTGATTCTTGCTATGCAAAATCATGCATCAGGAACAGTATTACAGGGTTGATTTGGTGCTTTTATACAAACATTCTCTTCACATCATTAAGAACAATGATGGTGTAATATGTTCAGTCTCTGCACTGTGCATGAATGCCACCTATTAGGCACTCATGCTGGGAAAGGTGGAAGGAAAGAGAAGAAGAGGATGACCAGCAGCAAGGGGGATTGACCCAGTTACAGGGGCAATGGGTGCACCGCTGGAAGAGCTGAAGGGTCAGGTTAGGGACAGATGGTCATGGAGAAAATCATCTATGTGGTCACTAGGAGATGAAAATGACTTGATGGCATAATCAATCAATCAATCAATCAATCAATCAATCAGGCACTCATATTTACAAGGCGCAGGAGTGTCTCTGGAAGATTTGCCCAACGAGGAGCCAAACTTGATGGCTATCTGTCTCATCTTCTCCAGATCACCACTTTCTTCAGCCTCCAAATATTCCTTCTGAGCACGGAGCTTCTCAACATCAGGGAAAAAGTCCCGCTGGATGATTTTCTCCAGACTCTGCGAAACATTCACAAGAACCAATATAATGTTTCCCACCCAATTAAGATTTAAAGCAACAGACATTTGGATTGCAGGATTCTGAACTGTTATCTTCTGATACAAGCCTATCAACTTTTCACTGTATCTCACAAGCTATTCAAGAAACTACTTCTGTAACAAAGGAAACTTTATGCACAATGCTTGACCTTGAATTTAACAGACATGCACTCATCTAAGAGAATGCCCAGTTTATATAAAAACACAGAAAAGTGCCCCACCGTCGCTCTTCCATTTGTTACTGTACCCCAGTATTGGCTCACTTTATGCATTAAGCCAAGACATAAGGTGGTTTGTTTAGTTACCCCACAGGGCAGGGTGCAAACTCAGCTACTGATTTCTAATATTTTTGTTTTATCGCTGTGCAAATAAAGCCACCATGGCTTGTACAACCATCATGGTGAAAAACAGAAAGTATACTTCCTTGGGATTTCTTGTTGAAAAGCAGGATTATAAACATTACATTAAAGAAATAAATATTCAAACATTTACATTTCAGGAAAAGGGATTATCTTAAAGCTTGGTTTCTCAGTCATTTTACAACCTCCACATTAATATGCCTACTTCCTTCCCCATCCTCAGTGGAAATCCAAGATTTTCTTTTGGAGGAAGACAGACTCCAAAATAAAAGTCATTACAAAACCAAAATATGTTCAGGTACAAACGTTAAGGACAAATGTTAGCAAGCCAGCTCCTTGTTTCAATTTAAGATATGAGTAAAAACCTATCCACTCACCCAGTCCTTTTAACGTTTAAGTGGATTTATTTATTAAATTTACATGCTGCTCAACCCAGAGCAACTGGGCGATTTTTTACAGTAACTATTCTTTTTAGTTTTCTTGAGTTTGGTACTATTTTGTTCTTGAGGATGGGTTTTGTCTTGTTTTTTGATTGCTCTTAAATGCCCTAAGAACAATCAGGAAAACGTGATCAAGAAATGACCCAGAGCTCTTAAAACAGAGGCTTATGCTGCTTCAATAATTAAAAAAACACTAAAAATTGGAATAACAATTTGTAAAGCTAGGACACTTTAGTAAACTATAGATTTGGATAAGAGATGAAAGGGATGGAG